ATTTAGTAGTTAAAACTTATGGATGTAAATGACTATATACACTTTTTATATTTAAGTAATGGATACATAATGGATATGTATGTGCATGTCTTACATAAAATTTTAACAGAAACAAAAATTTCTCGTAATTTGATCTGTTAAATTTGAATCAGATGAAAAATGACTAAAAAATTTAAAATACAAAACTAATTTTTAAGCATTCTGTATAAAAAAATCAGTTTTATATTTTCATTAAATTCTAGATTAGAAATATTTTGAATTTTTTTTTTGTTGCTATAAATATGTGAAAATTCACAGATGCACACATGGAAAATCTAAAAGAAAAAAACAAACAAATATAAGAATAAAAAAATTTTCTCTCTATTCTACTTTAACTTTCTTTTTGTTCTTTTATTAAAAATTTTGTACGGATGCTATATGAATTAAATTATAATAACTTTAAAACTGTAAATTATGTAACATTTGTAATATAATAAACAGTTACTTATTATAATAATTATTAACTGCTAAAAATGATGAGATCCTGAATGAAAGGTGTTCTTGGAATATTATTAATAACAATATACATATACATATAACCATATTATATCTTTGCATATATATCTATACTTATTTGCAATTGTACCCATTTTATACAAATTTTATATTATAATATATTCTATCTCTATTAATTTAATTAAAGTAAAATGAGATAAAAGGTAGATATATTTGATATAATAAAGGTACACATGATGGTTATTATTAAAGATTTGATATTTATTTTGTAAAGAATATTACGTGATTTGAGTTTGTAATATAAGTATGTTATAATATTATATATAGCGTATATAGATATATAAATGTAGGTACATGTATAGTTATTAAAAAGTTAATTTAATTAACACGTATTTGAAATCAAATTAATTCTATTAAAATAAACATTTTAAAATAAATATATAAAATGCACATATACATATACATATGTATATAATATTATTTATTTAATAAAATTTTTATCATTACTATAAAGTAAAATGAAAATTTTACCAGCCATCATTGGTTTTAAAATAATTATATAATAAGAAAATTGTAATTAATTGAAGTTTTTAATAAATTTTCTATATTATTTTTAATTCTATTATCAAAATATATTTTTAATTTAAAATTTATAAATTATTAAAAATTAAAGATAACAATTTTGATTTTCCTAAATATGAAATATTTTTGAGGTTTTCATAATAATTTTAATTTTACTTCTACGTGATCTTGTGAATATGGAAAATATTTTAATTATTCTGACAAATTTTCTGTTAATATTATTTTATAAATTAGATTTAAAGCGATTCGTAAATGATAGTCGAGTAAATTGCTAAAACTCTATGACGCAATGAATCTATGGGGAATTATTGACTATCTGTGATATCATGCACTCCTCTATGCTCCTACTATGTTAGAACTGAACGAGGGAACAAAAAATTTGCTAAGCACTTACAATTTGAAAAGAAAATATGGTGTAATATCAAACACTTTTGGTATGGAATTCGTTAATTTTGCTAATGATCGTAAAAAATTTTCTAATATTCAGTTAATTGTCAAAAATTCTGGTACCCACCATTTCCTGGGTACTGCCTGGAAATTAGATTTGGTTCAAGTTCACATACTTATGATTGAAATAAAATTTATATTTTTTCTTGGAAATTTTATTGAATTAACTTAGAATGCTCTACCATGGAATGTTTCACAAACGTAATTACAAAATTAAATGTTAAATTCGATATTAAAATATATATTGGGTTTTTTTTGTTATATATTAATTTCAATTAGTTTAAATAAAAAATTTTAATTATAAATTGTAAACAATTTGCAATATTTTATTAGTACAAGGTTATACGAAGTAATCTACGAGTACTCAATTAAAATACTGCAATTTGAAAATGTATTTTTAGTATCCGTAACTAAAACGATTAATTCTTTGAACATGAATTGAGGTTCTACATCAATGGAACAAAGAATCAATATGTGGCTTCACTCATTTACCTTTATATTTTAAGTTTATACTTTTATTTTGAAATAAAATATATGTATTAATAGTTCCTTTTTAACAAATAATTTGAAGTAGCTTTATTTAAAAACCAACATATATATTTCTAAATCGAAGTTACCCCGGTTAAACTAACCTTAGTACTAAGTTGAATCACAGGATTTTATATTTCATAAAGAAATCTAAAACTCAAACACCACATCTTTTGTTCAAACAGTGAATTAGTTTGCTTGTGATTCTCAGCTGTACAAATTTGAAATAACACCAATTATACTAAATTAATAGTGACTTACCAAAATTTTTCAAAAATTTATTGAAATGCTATAGGTTAACATAAAACCGAAAATCTCATATACCCATGGTCGTCATCTTTTACTAACCTAAATTAATACAGTTTTCAAAATCACCTTGAAAAAGTATACAATTGATAAAATATTTAAGCTTATTAAATACATAATTTGTTTAAAAGTGTAAAATCCTTAAAAATATGCAAATATTACGTGATAATACTACTTATGATCCTACTTATTACGATAAAATGATTATAAAATAAAAATTTTTAAAAATTTAAAAAAAAAATAAAAAAAATTTTTTTTACAAATAAAAAAATTTTTAAATTGTCATAACATTCTTTACTATTTGGAAATATTAAGGAAAAAATTTTATCAACATTTTATAAAATGATAATAAAAAGTTCCTAAAATTTACATAATTTGAACATTTTTATAAGGGTTATTCTAAACACACATTATGCACATACATATCTACTACATATTACACTTATGTACATTTTCATAAAACTAAAAATCTCTCCGTTTTTGGACATTATAATAAACATAAAAATGAAATCATCATATCAAACTTGTATACACAACATTAAATAATTTTTTACATGATGAAACAAAATACAATAATAAAAAATTTTTACGTATCTTAAAATAAAAAACTATAAATAATTTCACTTTATGTTGTACATGGACACAAGATACTGTATATAAAAATGTTGCATATCTGTATATAATAAAGGAACATGTACCACAAAAATTTAACTTTGTGAATAGACACAAAAAAATAATATAATTTTATTTTACCTTTATATTGTAAATTTTTTTATTATTGTTGACCATTAATATTATAAGCTGGAAAGAGCTACAAAGGAATTCTTACTCTTTCAGCTCATTTAGATTAAGAATATTATAAAATGAATATTCACAATTGTAAAAAAAATATGCAATTATATTAGTATTGCTTACGTTTTATATAAAGAATGTATAAGACTCTCTGAAATAATTGGAAGCAGTTAATAAAAAGAACGTTGTTTCATATAAAAATCCTGTTGAACATAATACTATACGAGAGAAACACGTTCCGAGTATAAATATTAGGATTTTGATTTTGATTTTTCATTCTAAAGACTAGAGACATCTAGCGGAATAAATATTTGCAAGTATATCCAGATTTTCATGCAAATTTGAGTTCATATTTAAAGCCTTTAATTTTATTAGACCAGCGCTTAGTAAAATCATTACAATTATTTTGTAAAAAATAATTTCGTTTTCGTTATACGAGTATATACAACAAAAACAAAATGTTTTTATTTACTTCTCAAACCATACACACATAAAACGAAAAAAAATACTAAAGAATTCAAGCATATTTCAAATAATTTTTTTTGGCCTCCATTCTTTTGGGAAAACAACGAAAGGTAGTAAAATGTAAAAAAATTTAAGAAATGTTTAGCGTTTTTTGTTTTTGTTAAAGTTGAAAAGAATTCCAAAAGAGAAAAAGAATTTTTTTCCATCTTGAATTCTTCTAAGGAATAGAATCAACGTTTTAAAGCCAGATTTTTTAAGCAGTCATTTATAATAGTCGCATATGCTTTGCTATAACCTACCCTTTCAATTTTGTATGATCCTATAAAATAAAAAGCAAAATGCTTGGTAGGAAAACTTCTATGCATAATAAAAGAGAAAATGTTTTATATAAGACCTCTAATTATTAAATTTATTTAATTCGGAAACGTTTGGAATAACAATTTCTCAAAATATTAATTTAAATTCTATGGCTCCATTGAAAAAGTACTTAAGACATTTTAGTAGGTTTTTACGAAATTTTAGGAACTTAAGACATTTTAGTAGGTTTTTTCTTTATAGTTTTTATATTATTGATTTTACACGGATAGTTCCTTTTAAGATTTTTTCTTAAATGTTACTTCGATGTATTAATAAACGAAAAGTGTGAGTTCATAAATCATGATTTCAAGTCAAAATAAAACCGGCTTGTTTTTGAACATTAAAATTTAGGTCAACTTAATTGCATTAACCTGTAAATTTTAGAAAGGTTATATTGTTCACTTCAATTTACAAGGAATTTTTCATAAGAACTGACTAAAGTGATAATGTAGGTCGATAAAGAATAAAAAAGCAATGACATTGCTGTAAAAAAATTTTTTTTTCTTATTTTTGACTTAAGTACTTTTTTTTTGGAGCCGCTTAATTGTGAATAGCAATATTATTAATACGAATAATAAAACCGTGAATGTTCAAAACGTAGTAATTCAAATAACCACTAGAGGCTCTTTGTGTTTATTGATTATCAGAAAACAGAAGCAAGTAGATTATTGCAATTTACAGTACTCATTTGAATGTCAACTAAAGAAGTTGCTGCTGATATTTTTATTTTTTTTTAAGCTATTGATAACGGTAAATTTTGTTGAACTCCATATTATGTTAAGAAATTAAAATTTTTAATCAAAAAATATAAACTGCAAGCGACAGCATTAATTTTTTCAATTATCTTTTGGAAACTTTTTCAGAAATGAATGTACATGGAAGGTTTTTATAAGTGAATATAAAAATTACCTTAATATTAAAGCTTCGAAATTTACATAAAAATAATTTTTTAAAATTTATAAATTTTAGTCAGCATTTGTTTTCAAATCATTAATTTTAAAATTTCTAAATTTTATTTTTTATTGTAGAAATGAAGAGAATGGCAATGAAAATTCATTTTTAGAAGTTGAATACATTTGTCATCATGGTTATGAATTACAATTAGCAAACACAGATGATAATAATTTTAATGGAAAACGTCGTAATGTGTTTTGTAAAAATGGTAATTGGATTGGAACACCACCATTTTGTGTAATGATTGAAACTGAAAATTCTGAAATTATTATGGATAATGAAATTTTTAAAAATCAAAGACAGCAAGAAAAACAAATAGAAAAAATAAATAATATTGAATCAAATAAAACATGTAATAATCCTGGAAAATGTGATCAATTATGCAGTGTTGAAAATGGTATAGAAAAATGTTTGTGTCAAAAAGGATTTAAAATGAATAATTACAGTCGCTGTGAAGGTAAGTCTATTCACTTACATACAAATGTATATAAATAGTTAGTAAGTAGAAATATTATTCATAATATTATGGCATTTAATAAAATAATTAGAATCTTAATACGTGTAATATCTACGGGAAAATATTGAAATTTTTGAAATTCAAAAAATAATTTAAAAACAAAATCGTATTTATGATAAATTTAATAGTTGTTAAATTGTTATATATTGATTTTTAATTATAATATGTCCAATTCTTTTATTCAAATTTATTTTTGAAATAAATTTAATAAAGTTCGTTGCACCTTAGGTTGCAAAATTCAATATTACTAACAGCAAACATAGACGAGTGAATTTTACCTATTGGCATATTTGTATAATTCTTACTTATTTATTCTTTATAGTAATAATTATTATGAATATTCAATATTTAATCTATTTAATCTGAAATATAGCTTAAGAGTTCAAAATACATAGTATAACACATGCAAACAATAAGAGGAAGCGTTTTTGTAGATCTATAATCATTTGTATATTTTATACTTAGAAATATTTTATTAAATTATATAAATTCCATTTAATTGAAAATATCCGCAAGTTATAATATTATGTGTCTATATGAGGAAATATAATATGTTTTATTGTACATATACATATGATTTCGTATAAAAGCTAGAAGGGAATTTAAAATTATATTATATTCTAAAGAAGTAACTAATTTGTGTAATTACCATAATTTTAATAAATATTTTGATTTTTCAATTTTGTCCATTATTATATTTAAATTTTAAATATTTTAGAATTAGTATTACACTTTAAGGAAAAGAAGGTTCTAAATATATATAGAGAAATAATTTACTTAATAAGATTTTTAGTTTACTTACAAACTTTTGTAAAGGCACATTTCTTAAAATATTTTTTTTAGAAATATGCCTACAAAAATGTGATTAAAATTATGTAAAAGTGAAGCTAACAATGTTATGTTAAAGTTTTCTAAATATTAATTTTTTTATAGGATTAGAGCAAAATATAATTTTAGCATTACTAATAAAATATAATAATAGTTGAAATATATAATATGCCATACATATATACACATATTATAAAATAATATGATAAGTATGAATAGAATTTTGAGCAATTAAATAGTGAAAAGAATAATAAACATTGTATGATATTATTTTACATAATAATTTCTACCTTAATAAGCATTATTAAATAAATCTCTATATACACATAAAAATTCTAATTTCTTCGGGATATTTGTAAATTTCTCGTATGATATTGTCAAATGTAAACAAAAATTCATCTCTACCACAATGTATACATTCCCTTAAAGTTAATAAACCTAATAACAAATGTTGTTCATTGATAGAATAATTCTAAATTTCATCCTTTTTTGGCAGTATATAAGATAAAAGTATAAACTTAGTAATCGATTAGGAAAATTTTCTCTATACTATAAATTCCATTTGGTATTGTCCTCGTGCATTACTATATTATAATATTAAATTGCATACGAATACTTAACGTGCACATAATTAAAGTTTTTAATATAAAACAAATTAGAAAATTATTTATTATTATTCAACATAGATGTCGAAATGAACACTTGACAATAACTTACTTATTTAATTCACTTAACGTTTTATTAGTTTCAATTTTATAATTTTATTCTTGAATTTATTCTTGGTTTCAGATCTTTAAAATAGTATATGACTAGTATCCTATTAGTCTTATTTTAGTTTCTTTTGAATGACATTAACTCCATGCTAGTTTAGAATATTTTATAAATTGATCGCTGTTTACCATAAATATCTTATTATACAGAAGTATTAGAGATTTGACGATCCTTTTCCATATTAATGTGTAAAGCCATCACAATTTATTGCAATAAATGTACGTAATTTTCCCCTCAACTCTCAGCTTTGAAGTAAACTAACTCGAATCCGCACAGAATTTGAATGCCTATATAGTGGGGTCATTTTAATTACAAATGAGTTTTGTTTTTTATAAAAGTAAAACACGGCTGGTTTCACAATTCTCAACTAATTCACTTTTAACTATAATTATAGCATTTATGTAAGTGAACAAATATTAATTAATGTATTGCAAATAAGTTGCCTCGAATGAATTAGTCTACCATTGATATGCGTATGGTAAGCACAAATTTTATTTAAGAATAATAGCAATTTAAATTTTTATTATAAAGAAAAAAATTGCATTAAATATCTTAAAATTTGCAATTTTATTTTTTAATTCAGTTCAGAAATTTTACATATTCAGCTTTAACTCTTTTTCTTTTTAAATTTATTTTTAATATTACACGAATTTTTCATATCCTTCATAATAAATACCAAATTTCTGTGTATATATATAATAATTATGTCGCAACGGAATTTAAAAACCTTAAATATATGATATAGATCATCGTAAAAAAACGACATTTTTTTACGAAAAATAAAAATGCTGATCGAAGCATCAAAATAATGGAAACTGACTCAATCCTTTATGGTACGATTAATTTTCATTATTATTATATAATTATTTCTGTTTCATGTTTTACATTGTTATAATATAAGCTCACAATATTATCTTATATAAAATAAAATAATAATGTTAAACTGAGTGCTTCGTAGAATTATCGAACATATATGGGACAAAATGAAATTAAAATTATAAAATTTTATAAATGATTGATACGAGCACTTAATAATTTTTTCAATTATATTTTGATCACATATTTTGTTTCCAAAGATTTAATTCTAATTTAATTCTAATATTGCAGTCGCTTCAATAAATAAATTTAATATGAAATTATACAATATTTTTAGGGCACATTTCTTAAATTATGGAAATGCAAGTTCAGTAGCAATTATTCAGAGGTGACACCTCCTTAAGCATTTTGCATAATACGGATTGAATTACTCTGCAATAATTTTTTTTTTCATATATTTTCTCATTGTTGAATGAGAAAATATATGAAAAAAAAACCCCCAAAAAATTCATCCCTATTTGTAAATTCACGTCATAGGTTAATATACCATATATGCGCTTATTCTTCCGTGTATAGGTAGATTATTGAAAATTTTGTACTTGCATTCTCCATTAAAATTTTTTATCATATTTTATATTCATTCGTTAAAATTTCCATCACATTTTTCAGGGAAATCTTTTTGTGTTTTAAAAAATAAAATTATGTAGAACAACATCAATATCTGTCCTTATCATTTTCATGTTTGAAAAGCAAAAATATGAAATAACAAAAGAAAATTTTATTTATTTATTTTTCTCTCAGAAACCGATTGCATTGACACACAATATAAAATACATAGGCTCTTGTAAATTAAAAATAAATATGAAGAAAAATAAAAACTTTAAACCCAAAAAAGAATAATTCCATTATTGAATTTTGTGAAAACTTTTTCAAAAAAAAAAAAAGAGGAAAACCAAAAAAGGAAATTGCGAAAAATAAAACAAAAAAAAAAGTTTTTTATAAATTTTTCAATTCATATAACGGTATGTTCGCGCGAACCTGATTACCATAATTGAAAACCTGAAATGAGTCATTAAACTTTACAATCATTTTAAGTGTTATTTGATCTTAATATGATTATCCTTCCTCATGATTGTAATTTTTTTTTATTTTATATCCCCATCCCATCTTATTAAATATATGTACGTATGTGTGTGGTGTATTAGTATTGATAGAATACATATTGTATGTATATATGCGTATAAAGTAGGCATAACACCATACATTTCCTGTTCGGAAATACTATTTTGCTGTATAGAAAACAACAGCCTCTAAGTATTAACAAAAAGAAAAGGAAAATCATTTTAGGTTAAAATGTTAGATATTTGCCTGTCGAACAAAGCAAAACAAGAAATCACTTAAGTATGGGGTAATAAAATTAAAGTAGCAATAACAATAAAAAAAAACAACAACAAAAAATTAAAAAAAAAAAAAAAAACAAGTAAAAAAAAATTACAATTGAAAAAGGCGAATTAAGGAAAAGGAAGGAGTTATTTTTTTCTATATATAAGCAGAAACACTATTAGATCTAAAAACGTATATTCGATAAAATTTTCCAAAATTCTCTTATTTAAATTTAGATTTTCCTTGAAACTTTCTTGTGAATAGTTTTTAAAGTTAAAACTTGGAATTCATCCCAATCACATAAATAAATTATGCATAATATTGTTACTTAAGCAAACCTCACCAAAATAACCAACCCGAATTAGGCCAATCGATAAGTGAAGTTTTACTTTCAAAAAATAATTTTTTTTTCCAATAAATTTCAAACTCTCAAAAAACCCCAAAATTGTAGTGAAGTTAGAAAAATTCTGTATAAACTAAACAAATTTAGTTTTAGAACTTTAAGCGGCAAAAGTTCAAATAGTGTGTTTAGTTTAACACACATGTTTGATTTTATATTCAAATAGTGACGTCATGTTTGATTTGATTCAAATTTACTCTAATTCTACACTAAATAGTATGTGCATTAAATTGGTCTTGCAAAACAAATATGCCTACCATATAGCAAAATTTATGCAGTCTGAGCCGAATACAGCTCGTATGGCACACATATGAAAATAAAACAATGGAAGTAATATTGTGAATACCGAAATCAATAACAGATTTGTATCGTAAAAACTTTATTATAGACACGAATCATTTGTATAAAGTGGTTTGAGTTTACACTAACATGTAATATCTGACTTTTTATACAATCATACTTGCACGCTTTCACCCAATGATTTGCTCCTCAAAATAAACATCATTGCTCTAGCCTAGCTAGATGCACAAATTATCGCTGATATTTTTGTATTTTTATTATAAATATGTGTATATTTGTACACACATATGTACATCCAAAATATGTGATCATATATTATGTGTATTACAATTTGAACAGGAAAATCATTCTTCCAAATGGAAAAAAAAATCGCATGAATCGGGAGAAAGATTTGTTTTATAGATTTTTTTTACTGTTATATCTGATTCAAATTTTCAATTGA